ACACCACTTTACAAAGCTTTGGAGAAGAGAAAGAGACTTTTCATGAGTGTTTTTCAGGAACATCAAGTGGCCATCACCCAGAGATCTGAACTCTGAACCCCACTTGGCTGGTGATCTCTGAGGGTCAAACATTACATGAAACATGACTCTAAAGCATCTGTTGGAAATCAGACTACTAAACCGATGGGGAATTCATTCTAATCCAAATGTGGGAGCCAAGTCAGCTACTGAAAATATATAATGCTACCAAATGTAGAATCAATACCCTGTGAAGAAAATGGTTTCAGTTCTAGCAAGAAAATCGTAAAAAATAGCCCTTCAATGCCATTTTTCCTGTAAGGTCACAGAGAAGCACCAAAAAAGAATATAAAGGGAAGACAAGAGAATTAAAAAAAACCTGATCCTAAATCAGCTGAGAGTCAGTTGATATATTCAGAAAGGGCTTTGTGAAAGAATTCTTAAGCCATGTGTGACTCTTACAGACATCTATTGTGGGAGGTATTTTAACCAGCTTCATGTCTGACAGACAGTCTGTGGGATATAAATAAATTTCAGCTTCTAATACAGATATAATTTTCCTTCTCTGTAGAAGTGAATACCAGTGAGAAAGTGACGTGTTCAGGATCAGTCCACTTGGATTTACAGTTTTTGAGAAGCCTACAAAAACCGACAGTTTTTGAAGGCCATAAGTAATAAAACCCTTAACAAGCTGGAGAAAAAAAAAAAAAAAGGAATTTGAGTGATCTGCCCACCACCACTTTGCACATTGTATTCCAACTGAGGTTTAAATATCCATTCAGCAATTAGCAATGGATTTATCATTCATTTCTGTTGGGATTGTCATCAGAATGACTGCAAATAGAGAGTAAAATTCCTCGGGTTAAGAGAAGACCCAGAGAAATTAAAAGTCAGGAAAATATAAACCACTATTTCTGCTAATAAATTGTCATGTACTATCTACACTAGTTTTTCACCTGGAGTTGTACTTACCTGCCTCTGAGATGGTCTCAGGACAAAAATCAAATCTGTGGTTTGGCTATTAATGCCTCTCACTAGGGACACCTGAGTTTAAAGGAACATCTCCCACAAGGAATCTCCCACAAGGAATTTTCCAGAGTTAAGTGTTATTCAAGTGAGACAATCTACCTGAACAATCCCCTTGCTCCTAAGAAACATGAGGGAGACTCTTCCCATGCTGAGAAGAAACCATTACCTAAGGAGACCTCCTACATCCAGCTCTATCCCCTTCTAATCTCTGCTACCCATTTCAAGCACTCATCCCACAGACTGAATTGCATTTAGCAGTATTGTGGATGTCACTTTCCACTTTTCTTAGCTCTGCCCCCATAACCAAACTGATATAGCTTCACATCATGTTCTACCTGCAATTCCCAGCTGGAAACTGGAGTTTTCCTACTTGATGTAATGAAACTCAAGTGTCACATCCCACTAAGCAACAGCCCCCTGCAATAGACAGGCATTGATAAAGGTGACAGAAATGTCTGATTCTGGTAATTTGCTAAGCAGTTACCTTTGGTTTTCCTGATTCTTTCATTACTCCCATGAAGACCTAAGAGGAACTGGAAATCTCCTCTACACATAATCACAAAGCAATCTCAACTCTTAAGCAAGCCATCCTGACAGAGGACAAGAATGTCTAAGGAAGGACAAGAACCATGAGAAAATTTCTTGTCACAGAATGTATTCCTGGACAAAAATGTGAAAAATACTACAACGTAAAATAGAATACACTTAGTAATTATTTTTTAAAAAAGTAATTTAATAATTACAATTTACTAAAATAAGATGCTAGATATCCATTTAACACCACAGCACAGTCAAAATCCAGTACCTGGTAATTATCAATACTGAGGATCAATTTAAAAATCTGCAGATGTAGGAGTCAAAGCTTCGTTTAGATTTTGGCACACTCAAATAAAAAGTGATTTTGAACAACACTGTTTAGTTGGGGAAATTTATTCACAGTGGTCAAAGTACGCAAAGGAATTCTTAAATCTCTGCACTCCGAACAAAACAAAGGAACTGAATGGGTGTTAACTTCAGAAGCTAACTTGAGCTTTTTAAGTATCAGCACCATCAACTATTTTGCTCTCCAAAAAATACCCCAGGGACACCCACAACACATGCTGGTGCAGTGGAAATGGACCTGCCCAGCTAATCAGGATCATTCTTTTTTATTTTTAATTGACCTTTCACAGTTGCAAAAGGTGAACAACACACACAGCTATTGCAGGAAGCACAAACCCGTTAGAAATACACTTCTGCCTCTCATTTTGCTTTCTCCAGACTGGTAGAGGGGTAATCAGTCTCTAGTACAGTCTCCAATTACAGCAAAGTTGCACTCAACTCTAACTGCACACATCTTGGCAGTGCTGCTCTCACCCGTGTGGGTCAGGAGATAGATCAAGACCAAAGGCTGAACTCCCTGCCTCTCACAGAGCTCCCAGTGCTCTCTGAGATGCCCAGAGGGTGTAAGAGACACCTACCAAGCCTGGCCCCGACGGATCTGCTGTATCCCAATGGACTGAGCCAGGCCTAATGGGCTTCCCAGGAAGCAGCAGGTGCCTGAGTGCTGGCTCATCCCATCCCACCCCAGACACTGAATACCTCCCCTTTAAGCGCCTTCCCTATATAAACAGCCGAGCTGAAGGAACAGGAATTATAATAATTAGAAAAAGAACAACAAAAAGAGCCCCTCCAAACCAAACCCACACACAAAAAAATAAAATAAAAAAATAAAAAAATTCAGAATTAAAATTTGATGAACAATAAAAAAAACACATAGCATGTTTGCATTCTGTTCAGTTTCACTGAAGTCACTGAGTCATAACATGCTCAGAGCAGAATCAACTCAGAAACAAAGGTCCTGAGAAAAGGGGGTCACACACACTGGGCCATCTCCAAGGACTTCAAATAAAGGGCACGTTGCTAAGTACAATTTTTAGAGAAACCCCAACAAGAGCTAGGAGAACACAATGAAAATTAGCACAGAGCTAAAAGCTTGCCTCAGCAGGGTTGTCAGCATCCAGAGCCAGCAAACACCACTTGAGCAGTTTTCCAGTGACTGCAGTGTCCCAGTCACCAGGACAGATGAACACTGTGGGCAGCCTCTAATTTTTAGGGCTGTTTACACAGCCCTTTTTGCAGGAAACGGCTCCTCCCAGAGTTTAAGGGACCAAAAGAGTCAAGTGATCTTGAAGTACAGAGAGGAGGTGGAGGAAAGGGTGGTATTCTTTCCCATCAAAGATCATTTTTACTTAAATATCATTCTGTGTTGAGCTTAGACTCTTGTTTCTGAGGCTGTAATTGACACTGAACTTGGCCAGACAGCCCTAAAAATGGCAGTTCTGAAGGTACAATCTTACAAAAGCAGTACACAAGCACCTTCTCTGCTTCCCAAAAGAGCTCAGAAAAAAATGAATGCATCTTCCTAGAGACAATGTTTGACAAAGAGATTCATATATTCATGGAGAAATGCTATTCTGCACTGAAATAAGACCAGGCTGTGAATCTAGATAGTCCCTTGTACAATTAGTAAGTTCTTTTGAGTATTTTCGCCACATCTGTAAGAGCTGAAAAGCCAAAACAGAACATGCACTAAAAATGAATAAATAAATAAAGTGCATCCGCATTGCTCAGTGAGGTCTAAGTTTTGCTCAAGGTCTCTTCATGGACCTTTGGTGACTGTTCAGCTGGAAATTAAAGGCCCAAGAGATTTTTGTGAAAGCAGAAAGGGATATCCTGAGTCCCAGCCAGCAGCCTAACAATGCAGCTTCCAACAGCCAGGACTGTGTGATTGTGTTAGGAACATCACTCATTACTGCACACTCATGTGTGCTCATGGAGTCTACTTGTAACTCCACTTTAGCTATTAAAAATGTTCTATTTATCAAAGATACTACACTTCAAGCAATAGGTTCCTACTCTATAAAAATCAAACTATGGCTTTTAATTACTTTTTATTTCTCAATATATTCAGGTAGTGTTCTTTGAAAGGTACACTGTGTAACACCAATATACTTATTGGGAAAAACAATTTTCACAATTTAGGCTGTGGAAAGTCCATTTCTAACTTCACTTTCATTTGTAGTTGACCTCTGACCAGTGTAACTTGAAATTTTCTTTATGACAATCAGTTCCAGGCTTCAAGGCAAAAAAAAAAAAAAAAAATAAAAAAAAAAAAAATAAAAAATCCAAACCAAAATTCAAACAAGACAAGACAAAACCCCCACCCAGTTTATATTAAACTCTCATTGAAAACCTATACATCTCCCACTGTTTTCTACCATGAAATAGCTCAAACTAATTTCTCTCAGCAACATCCTCTCTCCTGCAGGACTGTGACATAGGTGGAGATGATCACTGTGGGACTGCATGAGTTTCTTGGCAAAAGTGGTTATGACGTACTTGCTGCTACATCCTAAGGCTTGTTAGCATTCCTTGTCCTAGCTGGATCTACACCCCAGAGGGACAGCTGAGGAGTTACTGCAGAAAGCCAGTATCTGAGCTGTGGATTTCAGAATTAACTGCATTTATGTGCAAGGGATGAAATGCTTCAGTAACTTTTGTGTTACTGCAGATTACTTCATATTTGTACTTAAGTTCATAAAAGTAAGAAAGCAGAACTATCTAAACTATAAAACTCTAAAATTTCTAAAGACAAATCTTTGCACTCTTAAGACAAATTAATGTCCCACGCAACAGTTAAGCTACAAACTGATTAAAACTGTGAAAATCTCTAAGTTCTGTCATTTTTTGGTACACCTGGAAGTTAATCTGAATTAGGGTCTTTTAATTTAACTGCCAAGACAGACTTGTTGAGACGACTACAAAGTGAGTCTTCACACATTTCTCATTCTCCCTGCGCTACTTCTCACAGATTGATGGCATGCTGGGAACCAGCTGCTCCATGGCATTTCTGCAGGGTTACTGCCCTTAAGAGCCTCATGGCTCGTCATCCCTCCCTGCCCAGAACAAACCTGGGTGTGATCCTGGGTCTTCCCTGAGAGGCTTCTTCATTACAGAAACTGTGATCATATTTCATTTATTCTTTCCTTTTCCATACTTCATTGGCCCTTACCCTATCAAGAGGCAAAACACAGTCACTGAAATGCAACTAACTTATTGAGGGCATCAAAAATCATTAAAATGCAGAATGCTTGACACTCATGTTATTAATCCAATTTCTTGCTGATGAAGGAAGAAGCAAGGTTTGAGTAGTTGGTGAATATTTATCCTACCCTCAATAATCCAGATGTTCAAATGGTCTTAGTGTGCAGTTCCTTACCATTCCTGAAGAAGTGAAGTTGTACTCTTAGCAAATGCTTAGTGGGCAAATGAGAATTTTGTCACTTCAACCAAATTTTTTCACTTTGACAAAATCTGATTTTGTTTGAGCCACAAGTTTAGTAAGGTAAAAAAGAAAGGGAGCTGTTGTTCCTCAAGACTTCAAACAAAACACAAGCATGCCTTCCTTTCTGTCCTAATTCTCAGAGGCAAAGGAAGTCAACACAATTAATGGCCAATAAATATGAAAATACTGTATTACTTTATATAGTGCAGTATTATAGCTTATTATATTATATAGTGCAGTATTATAGCTTATTTATATAATAAATATTTCTATAATAAATATATTATTTATAAATATATCATTTATTTATTATATAGCTTGTTCATAAACACTAAAGATTTTTCATTCAACTCCTTTCAGTCAAGTCTGGATAATATTATATTCTATCTTTGTTACCTAAATATGTAGTCAGATTAAAGATATGTGAGTCTCAGAGTACTAAGTAGCTCCTAAGACCATTAAGGAGAATTCCTTTTTTCTGCAGATAAGTCATTGAAAATACAAATTCAGTTTCTTAAGGTGACATATACTTTTTTTCCCCCCCATTTCAGGAAGCACCATGCACAGGGTATATGGAGAAATCAAAAGGAGGATACTAAAGCTCACTGGCCTATATCTCATTCAAGATGGGAAATCCTATGTCCTGAATATAAAGGTTCCAATCTAATTACACCTGTGAAACAACATTAAGTATTCTAAAATAAATGAAAAGCACAGATTTCATTACAAAAATATAATATCCTGACCCCTGAAATATTCTGATCCCTGAAAACAACATGTCACTGCTAACAAATCAAAAACATCTGTTTCCACAATATTAATTGGTCTTAAGAGCAACTTGTTGTGGAGACAAACTTTTAAAAACCTAAGGGAAAAAAAATCATCAGGATGGGACAGAAGGTAACAGCAGGAAAAGGAGCTCAATCCCAGTATCTGGAAACAAACTCGCACATTTTCTTCAGTTAATTGGAAACCTGGCACATTTGTCAGTTTTACATCATTCTCAAGCTACAGCTGCAAGGTACAAAAGTGTACAGGACATGGTATGAACACAGTATGATCATATACAGACCCCTTGGAACCATTTAAGCCTGCAAAGTTCTGGTCCTTATGCTATAAAGTTACCTAATAACCACTTAAAATTTGAAAAAGCTGAACTACTTACTCAGGTGCAATAGTCAGGAGCCAACTCATGATTTAGGAGAAAAGGAGAACAAAATCAAGTTCATCAGCAAATAAAATCATCTTTGACTTGAGACCAGCAAGTCTTCTCTGACCTGACTTATTTTGGAGACATGTGGTTTCCATATGTTGTTTCTATTGTTGCAGATCAGCACATCAGGACATAAAAACTCTGTACAAATTTATAGTAGGTGGGGTGAGAAGGTGCTGAGGCTGATGCCCAAAGACTGGGAATTGATGAGCAAATTTAGTTCCTCAAATAAGAAGCTGCATAGTTGAAAAAGCCAAGTAGCCTTCTGTATATTTAATGTTCTTCCAAGCCCCTTCACATTATGAACAGAGTGCAGAGGGACAATGATTTATCTAATAAGAGCAATTTGAAATTAGGCTTACTAATGTTTGCTGAATTAAGGCTGGTAAGAAGATGCCAGTACAGGTCTCAGAGCAAAAACACTTAACAGTCTACCAAGAGCTGGATTTTCCCCCTCAGAAATGAATATATTTTCCTGTCTCTCATCCAATGCAGGAATCTTATTAACATTCCTTCATGAGCCACTGAAACATACATAGTACATAGGTGCTAGAAAAGCATATTTTTTTCCCTAGCAAAACACCTCTAAGTAAATAATGATAAATTCTGAAAAGCATTGTTGCCACAAGTTACGTTGACCAATGCTCTTCCCCCTCACATTCATCACACAGACAAAGGCTTTCCTCCTAAAAGGCTAATTTATTTAAACTTATCAGATTATCAAACTTTATTTAAGGAGAATATGGATGTTAATAAATAAATAAAATTTAAACCACACATATCTTATTAGTTTACCTATTACAGAACCATCAACAGGAGTCACCACTGGGAAACATGTATTTGTCCACACAGGTAATGCATGGTAAATGTGTTTTTCTTTGAGTGATTATGTTTACTGATTTATATCAGAGAAGGATGAGAAACATTTCCAGTGAGCTCAATCCCACTTCCCTAAGAAAGAAACAAAAACAAGGAGCAGCACCAGCTGCTTGGCAGGACTGTGCTGGAATGATAACATGGTCTTGGAGCGCTCTTGCTCAGGCGATGGAATTAATTACTGGTGAGTACGAGCACAGGCACAGCACTGACAGTTGCTTCACCTTGCCCAGCAAACAGCCTGTTTTGCTCATGCTGCTCACTGCCTCCATGCACAGCTTCTCCACAACCAGCTTTGCATGTACTGCACACCTTGAGCAATGTTGGAACTAAGGAGTGGACCATGTCAGACTATGAAATATGTGTATCTAGAAAAGATTTTTGGACAAGGACAATTTGATATACCAATAGCATAAAACTCTGTACTAAATCTATCTGAAACTAAGCAATAAAATCCATTTTACTTAATAGTATCCACCCACTAATTTCATTAATGATCAAATTCTAATTGGAAAATTAGTATGAATTGGTTCTATAGCTCATTGTGCAAAACTCTCATCATCCTACAATGTAACAGACTCTTGTTCAAAAAAAGATGACACTTATTTCTATGAGAATGGAAAATGATCAGTCTGAATTAAAAAAAAAATAACAAGGGAAGGGGACAAAGAAACATGCTAAAATTATATAAAAGTCTTTTTATACAAAGTGACAAAGGAAGAATAGCAACCAAAAAAAAATTCAACCAGAAAACCAACAAAACCACACACTCAAAAAACCCACACCACATCAAAGAAACTCAACCACAAGCTCCACTGTAACTGTGTGATTGTGTAGGTTTCTACACTTACTTGGATAATGTTCTAGATTTGTTGGAAATCTGGACAGGACTCTCATGAGAACAGGCTTTCTGATAATTTAGATACTCTCAGGTTCTAAGTCTGCCAGAAAAAATGCAAGAGCAGTCTTTTTCCATGGTAGTTTTGTACTTGGATTCCAACTCCAGCAAAAGAAGAGGAACTGCAGAGATGTATAAAATTAAAGAGGGATCAGTCACAAAACCTTTCCCATTCATGACCAGTGCACAATACAGTACAGTGTGAATTTTGGGGAAGATGCAAGAGAACTGATTTCATTTGACTCACTTCAACCTTTTCTAGTTTTGAGAAAAGTATTAATTGGCGCTATTTAAAACAAACACCTGACAGGAGTCACAGAGCTATTCAGTTTGTTACCAAATGGTTTTTTAATGAAGATCAAGGATTTCTGTCTGTCTTGAGCACTGTGTTGTGAGCTGAACAGGAAGGATTCCTGCAGTTTACAGATATGGCTGGTAAATAAAACAGGATGTTACAAAGGTTACCTCCCTGATGCAAAACAAGGAAAATACTGAAGTCGTTGGAAGACTGTGGAAAGGGATCTTCCATCAGCAACAACAACAATGCACTTGCTGCATTTTGGGAGGGAAAAAAAAAAGCCAACGCAACAATGGATTTTTTGTTACTCCTTAGTTCTGGCAACAAAACTAGAGGCAGTTTCATTCCTGAAAACAAAGACATAACCACAACTTCCACACTTGTATCTTGCACTTCTTTGCAAGAGATGCAACTTAAAAACAGGTGCTCTGAAAACCATGGTCTTGTGTAGCCAGGACAAAATAAGTTAAAAGGTCCTCTGGAGGAGGTTTCTGGCTCAATCACCTTTTGTGTTACTGACATGGGTTTGCTTCTATGCTTTGTTTTATTACAACATATACTCTCTGGTTTTATAGAGAGAGAATCATAAGTTCTTCCAGAGGGCTGCAGAAAAGTGCAAATTCTTTATCTAGACATTTGCGGATAGACACCTTGGAAAGTCTAAGACTCTCTGAGCATAGGAAAAGGAATGAAGACACATTTGGTTTTTACAGAGAGGTTCTGATAGATGAAGAGTCAGTAGGATCTGAAGGACACAAAGCAGAATGAAAAGAACTACTTCCATCTCTTGGGGTATTTACCTTTTCAGCTGGGAAAAAAGATCTATATACTGGCAAAGTGCCAGGAGCAGCACTGCTTTGTCTTTGAAAGCTCAGGTTCTGCAAAGTGGGGCAGGAAGGGCAGCTGAATTTCATCAAACAGAGAAGTTGCTCGATAACTTGGTGACCTTCCTGTAAAGCCCAAAGGGCCCCAAACACACAGAATCCATATGACCCATGACATCATCAAACACTGGAAGTTAACCAAATGCCCAAAGTCAGGAAACAACTATCTGTCTGGGACAAACTGCATTCTTCCCTTTCTATAGGACTATTTTTCTATCAAAGTATGCTTACAATCTCTCTCATCAAAAGAAACATTTTCAGCAGTCACTTGTGGGACACCCCTCTGGAAACCCAAAATAAACTGGTTTTAACTTGCTTTATGGTCCCCTTACTGGAATGATAGTCACCCAAAAACCTAGTGCCCTTTGAAATGGACACCCTCTAGGAAAACCCAGCTGATGTAAAAAATCATCACCTTTAATACTTTTGTCATGTTCAATGCTCTGAAAATGTTTTTTAAGCAAATGTTTGCTTAAAAAAGTTACAAATGGATTCTGGAAATCCATATATATTTCTTGAACCTTTTTAAGTTCAATAAAACATGCCTGCATTCATCCACATAAGATCATGTGATCTTTTAGGAGGAACACTTTAATTACTGTTCAGCAGTTAACTGAGACAGAAGTACTGCTGATTTGCATTAATTAGTTGCTTTATTTTTACATTAAGCAGTGCACACAGCCCTTCCTATACTAAGTAATACATTAATTTATTTTTTTTATTAGATACAAGTAACATTAGATGTGGTAAATAACTACCGAGCACCCTCTGTGTCTCACTTCAAAAGTAGGAGTGCTGTTGACCAGTGTACAAGACATTTTCAGCATCACAGGCTTACTCTTCAATATTTCCTGCTCATCCCTAGCTTTCCCCCCCACCTTGTTTTTAATTGCTTTTAAGTTGTATCTGGATTTATAAACCTTTGACCTGGCTTCGTGCTCTGAGCATCATCCATACAGTCTCACTAAGTATGTGGACTTTGTAAATGTGCTCCTTGTAACTTCAAGGATTTTGTAGGATTGAAGACTCAAAAGCCAAAAGGAGTCAAGAGAGCTGAGTTTGGTCTCCCATAAGCCATTTGTCAAACTGGACAAGAGCTATCTATGCACCTTAGAAAAGCTTTCCAGGAGCAGCACTAATTCCAATCTCACCCAATGTCACCTCGTGTCCATGGACACATCCCTTACTCTGTGAGACTCACACGAACATCCCTGCCATGGCCAGCTCCCCTGCCCTGCCCACGCTCGCGTGCAAACAGGGCAGCCACAGACACGATGAGGGATCCTCAGCTGCCACACTTCCCCTTGCAGTCCTGCTAACCTCAGTCCTGACCTACAGTACCCTTTATTTTCCATTCCTTAGACTCTCTTACACAAATAGAGCCCAGGATTCCAAATTGGGCTGTGTTTATTCCAAGAAAACAAAGACAACCATTTTCACATCTAAGAAAATGACGCGTCTTGATAAAAAATTGTAACATTTTCATACAATGCCAAAAACAAATGCAGTTTTCATCAGCATCTCAAATCCCTGTGGACTGGTTTCTAGTCTATTCTGCTAATTCCTGGATCCCAAATTTGACTGAATCCTCTCTTGCTTGAACTCCTTATTTCATGTTAGCTGGAATCCTTCTCAAATGTTTGCAGCTATGCCCATTACTAGGTGTCTTTCAGGGAGAGTTAATTTCACTGCACAAAGAAACAGCCCACAGTTGCTTCAACTAGGTGCTATTTTTCATCTTTGCCTTTTAAATCAAAGGATTTGGGTTCTAAGTGTTGGAAACCATGCAAAATCCCCTATATGTCAAAATGCGCTGCTGCAAATAAACCACTTTCTTTTCAAAATCCAAAAGCAACATACTTTTTTTTTAAAATGATCTACCTAAATTTTCCAATACAACAGCCTCATCACAAAATTCTGTGATTTTGCTAAGTACATTAAGGCTAATTTGCAGTTTGATGTTGAAAAAAAATCCTTTTTTTTTGTCATTACCAATGATGATAAATAAACACCCAATACTTACAAAATCCATAAATTTACTATAAATATTGAAAAGAAGCTTTCCATAGAGCTATTAGAAAAAAACTTCATTTCATCAAATTGACCTTTGCTAGAAAACGAGCAGTTCATAGCCTTGCAACACCAATTAATAATAGGGTGCTGACAAATAAAACAAGCTGGTAAATATGAATCTTGTTCATAACAAGATTGCACAAGAAAATATACTGTAATGACCCTGTCTGAACATCCGGTAATAGCCTATTGTTCCTCGCTATTACTGTCATTCAGCAATTTTTTTTAATAGCGGATGCATGGCAGCAGAGGAACCAACTCAACGTGGGACTGCACGTGCACAAATCCTGCCCCATCGTGGAGGTGAGGAGGTGGCCCTGGCACTCCTGGGCTGCTCAGTGGATGTGGAGATCTGCACAACGCCCCCACGGCTCTGCAGAGCTTGAATGAGGGGAATAAAAATACTTATCCGTAAGTGCCTTAATGATTTGTAAACTGAGAAGAGAACAGGATCCTTTTACCTGTAAAGGGCAAATTACAGGAAAAACAGGAATGAATAATGGAAAAATCATAGGCTTAAATTCTGAGAGATCACAAAGTCATTTACTCAATAAATGGTAGAAGAAATAGGAGGTATCCTTCTGTTCCACAGATGAAGAGGAAAGGTGGTAATAAAGACCTTCCATGTGTGACAGCTGAGTATTTCACCTGCTCTCTGTATGAGGAAAGATGAGCTAACTTAGCACTGCAATTACTGACACCTTAACTAGACCACACACTGATATACCCAGTGTCTGGTTTTGCTGTCTAATTAAAATACTGAATAGACAACTGATTTCATAACCATACTGTGAATTCATGTCACAGACATAACTGTAAGTAGTGGTTTCTCACCAATTAAAGGAATCTTTCTGTTTATTGAGGTCTGACTGACCACAGGACACCTGATTAAGCTTTGTCTATGAAATAAGAGTCATGCTAAAGGCAACATCATTCTGTTTACTGATTTTTTCAGTTCACTTTCCTATGGGAACAACATCTTCAGGTTTAGACTGGTTTTTTTTCCCTTTGTGCATTTCTTATTCCTTCCATCATTTTGTCTTCCTTGCTACCAGGCTTCATGGTTTCATTGTTAATTAGTACTCCTGGAAGGAGGAGTTAGACAATACCCTGCTTAAAATCTGTAAATGTTTAAAAATATAAAAGCTCAGAATTCTATGAAACACGAGGGATAAAGAAATAGTAAAAATAAAATTAAACAAAACAAACCTCTGGCTTAAAATTTTCCACATTCCTGTATGTGTAGTGCTATTTTTGAACACTTTGGTTTGGCACACGTGCATTCCCTGAGGAAGCTGAGTTATCACCGATAACTCTGTCATGACAGTCTGTCTTCATTGGACAGCATAAATTTCCACAGAAACTTCTCTTCCCTTACCTATGCAGACTTAGAAATGTCCCTAAAAGCTGCTTTGAACCAGGGCTCATTTGGTGCTTGTACCCTGGAGATGGCAGCAGCCACTGCCATGCTCTGGTGCCCCAGTGCCCCCACAAAGACAGCACAAGAATTTTGCCAGCCTTCCAACAAACCCTGAATTACTGCCATGTCCTTCACTGGTTTGTAATGTGACTCTAGGAAAAGCTTAGCATGTCAGCACACTATTTTATCCCTGCAGCCCTAAATAAAAAGTGTCCAGTTAAACTACATTGTCTGAATTCTTCCCTTGGATTGCATGCACAATTTTCAGAAGAGGGATCTTCTGCGGAGAAAGAGCTCTGCTTGTGCAAGCTCTTCTCAAATAATTGAGGGAGAAAAAAGGAAAACCTGGGCTCAGCAGCTGCCCCAGTGGATGATGAAAGGTTAAAAACATCTGAGTGATTTTCCTAGGTACTCTCAAAATGCTGATATAGCACATCC